GACCTCAATAGACATTTTTCAAAAGAGGAAATCCAAATGGCCAACAGGCACATGAAAAAATGTGCAAGGTCATTAGCAATCAGGGAAATGCAAATCAAAACCACAATGAGGTTTCACCTCACCCCGGTTAGAATGGCTCACATGCAGAAATCTACCAACAACAGATGCTGGCGAGGATGTGGGGAAAAAGGGACACTAACCCACTGTTGGTGGGAATGCACACTGGTCAAGCCACTATGGAAGTCAGTCTGGAGATTCCTCAGAAACCTGAAGATAACCCTACCGTTCGACCCAGCCATCCCACTCCTTGGAATTTACCCAAAGGAAATTAAATTGGCAAACAAAAAAGCGGTCTGCACCCTAATGTTTATTGCAGCTCAATTCACAATAGCTAAGACCTGGAACCAACCTAAATGCCCATCAACGGTAGACATGATTACTTACTTCCAAATAATTGAATATGGCAAAAAGGTAGGATTTTGCTTTCTGCATTAGTTATAGAGTCCTTACCACCATTCCAGTCTGCCAGAAACAAATGATTGCAGCCTCATAGTCCCAGCTGGACCCAGCAGAGACAGTGGCTACAGCACTTTAACCCAAGTGGTGTTTTGCATTACATGCGATAGATGTTCCAGCACAGCAGGTTCTGTTACAAGACCTTAGAAGTCAGTTCACTCTGCACTATAGGCCATCCCCTGAAGGGACTGGGACTTACAAAGCCTCAACACAAATGTCTTCTGGAGTTACCTAGAATCTGGGAACATTGTACAGACACACACATTTGAACTAGCAGCTTCCCTGTGGGCTTTGGTTTTACTGATTACTCCAGACTCTATACTGCTCAAGTCCAGGATGCCTAGGCTTTGGTGGCTATGTTTGCTTGCACACATCCATTACAGTTGCCAGGGATGGTGTCTGCTGGGGGCTGCTGGCTCAGTTCTCTTCTGCAGCAGAGTCCAGCCTTAGTGGACATCTCTGACACTCAGGGCTGGAACAAGCTTGCTTAGGTGGGCAGTCTGGCTGTGCATCACCTCTTGGGGTTTTGGCTGGCAAGAAGGCTTGGTGAATTCTCCTGATATAGCCCTGCTTAGCTTGAAAACTCCTCGCTTTGGTGACCCCAGTATCAGCTGGAGCAAGCTACAGCATGAATGCTGTATAACCAAACTTTTTTGTTCAACTGTATAAAAACCCTAACGACCTTATTGTAGGGCCACCGATCCAGCCCAGCTGCGCCTGGTGCAGACGTCAGACCAAACTTGAGTTTGAAATAAAACTCTTGCGTTTGCATCAGCCTTGGCTCCTGTGGTCTTAATTGGTGGGAATCGGACGCTTCAGTACAACAGGCCACACTGGCTTTGGCAAGTGTGGTTGGTCATGCAAAAGCTTTCTAGTCTACTCAGCCCCTTTCTCCAGTCTAGCTTGGCTTGGGCCAGGGACCCAGACATCAAGCTCATTGCAGCAAGTATACCCTAGCATTACTGGGTAGGGATGGTTGTTTCCAGTAGCTCGGGCTTCAGGGCTCCACTTCTTTAGCTTACCCTGATCTTGGAGAGTGTCCCAGCCCCCAGCCCCATCACAGTACATACCTGCCTATGTTTTGGTGGGCACAGGTGGCAAAACACACAGGCCACAGACCCCAGCCACCACCATAAAACCTTGTATACCCTTGGTGGGACTGAAAGGTGCCCCTCATCCCGCCTACACACACAGCTACTGTTGCTGTGGCCATCAGTAACAGCGCTGAACTACATAGAGAGATCCCAGCTGATACTGGGATCGAGTAAGGAGCACTCACTGCAGCTGAGGTGGGCTGGAGACGATGACTGACTGCCCACATTGGTGTGTTTTGAGGAAATGGGGTCACCAAAGTGAGGAGTTTTCAAGCTAAGCAGGGCTATATCAGGAGAATTCACCAAGCCTTCTTGCCATCCAACTGCAAACCAAAGCCAAAATAGCCTGCCAAAGTCATATCTGAAGACATGTCTTCTGGAGAAATCTTAAATCCATGAAAACCACCACTTAAAAATGACAGACAACTGATCCACCAGATGCACAAAAATCAGCAGAGAGATAAAAGCAATATGAAAAATCAAGGCAATATCATGCCCAAAAAGAATCCAAAGACACTTTGGATTCATATTAAACTCCACAGAAAGGGAGATTGATGAGATGCCTGATAGAGAATTCAAAATAATCATTATAAGTATGCTCTCAAAGAGGTGTAAGAGACTACAGACAGAAGGTTAAATGAAATTAGAAAATAAATGCATCATATAAATGAGAGATTTAGCAAGGAAATAGAAATATTGAAAAAGAGCCAAACAGAAATTCTAAAGATGAAGAACTCAGTAAGTCAATCAAAAATACAATTAAAAGTCTTAATAACAGACTACATGAAGCAGAAGAAAGGATACTCAAACTCAAAGACAGGTTTTTTTTGTAATATCCCAGACAGAAAAAAAAACAGAGAAAGAATAAAAAAGAAAAAAGAATAAAAATAATGGGTTATTTAAAAATTAGAAATTTCTGTAAATTAGTGGAAATGGAAACACTTCCGGGACCAAAACTTATGTGGCACATCAAGATGGAAGTTTACAGCAATAAGCACCCACATCCAAAGAAAGAAAAAGATGAAGCAAACATCCTAATAAAGTATCTCAAGGATGTGGAAAATCAGGAATAAACCAAACACAAAGTCAGTAGAAGTCAAATAATAATAAAAATTAGAGCAGAACTAAAAGAAACAGAAACTAAGAAAACACAAAACTAATGAAATGAAGCACTTGTTTTCTGAAAAGATAAATAAAATTGATAAAATTTCAGCTAACCTAAGGAAAGAGAAGACTCAAATTAATAAGAAAGGAAAAGGAGATATTAAAACTTTTACCACAGAAATATCATTAGGGACTACTATGAGCAACTATGTCAACAAATCAAAAAATCTAGAAGAAATGGTTGCACATCTGGAATACATTACCTTTCACAATTGAACTCTGAAGACACAAAAAACCTGAACAGACTAATAACAAGTAATGATACTGAATCAGTAATAAAAAGTCTCTGATTAAAGAAAAGCCCAGAATCAAATGCTTCCACTGTTGAAGTTTATCAAGCTTTTCAGGAAGCACTAACGCCATTATCCCTCAAATTATTTCAAAAACTGGGAAGGGTGGGAACCCTCCCTAACTCATTCTGTGAGGTCAGAATTACCCTGATTCCAAACCCAGACAAAATAGATACAATAACAAAAAAAAAGAGAGAGAGAAAGAGAGAGAAGTATACATTCATGAACAAAGATGCAAAAACTCAACAAAATGCTAGCAAGTTGAATCCTACAACACATCAAAAAGACCATTCACCTTGACAAAGCCGGATTCATCTCAGATGAATCAACATACAAAAATCAATAAATGTAATTCACAGCACCAGTGAATTGAAGGATAAATATCCCATGGTCACTTCAATAGATGCAGAAAAATTTATAAAATTCAATACCCATTCATAATTTTAAAATACCTTTAACGAATTAGGTATAGAAGATAACTACCTCAGCATAATAAAGATTATCTATGACAAACCCCAGTAAACAATCCATTAAATAGGAAAAAGATGAAAGCCTTCCCTCCAAGATCTAGAACTAGACAAGGGTATCCATGCTCACAATCTTATTTAATATAATACTGGAAGTTTTAACCAGAGCCACTAGGCAATAAAAATAAATAAAAGGCATATAAATAACAGAGGAAGAAGTCAAACTAGCCCTGTTTTCAGATGACATGACTATAAAGTGAAGCCAGAAGACTGCACCAAGTGACTATTAGAACTGATATGCAAATTCGGTAGCATGGCAAAATACAAAATTAACAGTCAAAAATCAGCAGCTTTTGTATATGCCAATAAGGAACTCACCAAGAAATAAATTTTAAAGCAGTCCCATTCACTATAGCTCCCCCCAAAATAAAGCATATTGCAATAAATTTACCCAAGCATGTGAAAGACATTTACAATGAAAATTACAAAATATTCTTCAAATAAATTGAACAGGACATGCAAAAATGGAAAGACTGCGCATGTTCATGACCTAGAAAAATTAATATTACTAAAACTTCCATAACAACCCATTGCTATTTACAGATTTAATATGATTTTTGCCAAATGTCAATGAAATTAATTGCAGAACTTGTTAAAAAAAATCATCTCACAATTCATGTGGAAATACTAAAAGACTCCCAAATAGCCATGTAATCTTGGACAATAAGAAGAAAACTGGAGGCCTCAAAATACCATATTTCGAGTTATATATAGTGCTATTTGAACCAAAACAGAATGATACTGGCATTAAAATGGATACATGGACAATTAATGAAAAATGGAAATCCCAGAAATAAGCTTGCACACTATAGCCAACTTACCTTTGATGAAGCAAGTAAAACACACCCTGGAGAAGAGACAGTCTCTCTCATAAGTAGTATTGGGAAAACTGGATACCATATGTTAACCAGACCTTCTACCTCGCAATCTGAACAAAATGGATCATCCAACATGCATCAATAACAATAACTCTGAATAACCCTTGTCTAGACTATTGAGGAACAGGCTTTGTTTTTTTTTTTCTTTTTCTCATACAAATGTTCAACTCTTTACCTAGAATAGAGTTAACCCTCTGTATATAAAGTTAAATGAAGATAGATCTTAGTGAAAAACAAAACAGGGAAAAGGACAGGGAAGAGGAAGAGGGGTGGGAGAGTGGGTGGGAGGGCAGGTACAGTGGGAAGAATTATTATGTTCCTAATATTGCATTTATAAAATGTGTGCAAATAAATTTACAAAAAAGATGCATCAATGATCTCAATTTAAGACTCAAACCTGTAGAACTGTTAAAATAACGGTGGAAACACTTCAAGAGATAGGCACTGCAACAATTCTTTGGACAAGGTATTAAAAATACATGTATTCTGCCTCTCTAGCTCATATTCACAATAGCAACATTTCTTGTATACCTTGTAGGCATGCTGTAGGACCGGAGTAGAGTTCAATTTATGTTCTCTAGTCCCAGGATCAAGGCTTTTGGTGTTATAAGCCATAGCACCAGTTGGACTCTCCTAGTAGAACCTGAGGAATGATGCATCTGCTTCACACAGTCCTAGAGCCACAGCAACTGTGGGAAAAGGAGAAAGCCTCATTAATCTCCCTCAGCACCAAGAACAAGTTGCTTTTTTATACATTAATGCCAAACTCACTGAAAGAGAAATCAAGAAAGATCCCATTCACAATAGTCACAAAAAATCAAATATTTAAGGATACATTTAACCAAAGAAGTGAAAGATCTCAACAATGAAAATTATGAAAAATTGCTGAAAAAAATGATTAAGGACACACAAAAAATGGAGAGATATTTCTTGATCATGAGAAGATGGAGAGAGAGATAAGATGAGAGAGAGAGAGAGAGAGAGAGAACTATGTGTATCAGTTTACCACATAGTTTTGTAAAGTTTTGCTATACCACTGTCAAATCAAGGGTTAAAAATATAATACAACTGTAGTTTCAATTATTTGTAATTACTTTAAAATTTACTGTATATGAGTTAAATGGTCATTTTTCCTTTAATTATCATTTACGGCTATAGACTATAATCCCATTAAACCAGGGTCTTTTTGCTTTTTACTTGTTAAACTTATTATTTGGTGAAGCACTAAGCCATCTTACTGCAATGTAAATTTAAAATATGTTATCTCAAAAGCTAAAAAAATAAAGAAAGGGAGAGGGAGGGAGGGTAGGTGGGAGAGAAGGGGAGAGAATATTATATTCTTAAAATTGTACCTGCAAATTATACTGACTCTATTAAAACTAATTATATAAAATCTTAAATCACATTTAAAAATACACAAGCCAAGGAACCTATGCACAGCAAAAGAAACAATCATCAGAGTGAAGAGGCAATGAACAGAATTCATCTGACAAAGGGGATTAATATCCAGAATATATAAGAAACTAAAAAATCAACAACAAAAAACTAATCCAATTAACAAATGGACCAGGGAAATAAATAGACCTTTTTCAGAAGAAGAAATAAAAATGGCCAACATATACATGAAAAAAAAATGCTCAACATCACTAGCCATCAGGGAAATGCAAATCAAAACCACATTGAGGTATCATCTCACTCATGATAGAATGGCTATTGTCTAATGGACAAAAGAATATCAAATGCTGGTGAAGATATGAAGAAAAGGGAACTGGGATGTAAATCAGTGCAGCCATTATGAAGAATAACAGAATGGAGTTTTCACAAAAAAGTAGAAATAGATCTACCATGTCACCCAGTTATTCTCTTTCCAACTACATAGCCCAAGAAAATGAAACTTGCATATGAAAAAGATACCTGCACTCTCATGTTCATTGCAGCACTGTTCACAATAGCAAAGATATGGAATCAATCTAGATGTTCATCAATGAAAGAACAGATAAATAAAATGTGATGTAGATATACAATTGTGTGCTATCTTGTGCTATCTTGTGCTATCTTGCCATCAAAAACAATGAAATCCTAACATTTTCACAAAATGAATGAAACTGGAGATGACTATGTTAAGTGAAATAACACAAACTCAAAAAGACAAATACCACATATTTTCTCCCATATAAGGGAGTAAAAAGAATAACATAATGTGTGTATATCCACATATATTTTTTTTTTAAGATTTACTTATGTATTTGAAAGAGTTACCCAGAGAAAGGAGAGGCAGAGAGAGATAGAGAGGTCTTCCATCCAATGGTTCACTCCCCAGCTGGCCACAATGGCCAGAGCTATGCCAATCCAAAGCCAGGAACCAGGAGCTTCTTCCAGGTCTCCCACATGGGTTCAAGGGACCAAAGACTTGGGCCATCTTCTACTGCTTTCCCAGGCCACAGCAGAGAGCTGGATTGGAAGTGGAACCCATATGGGATGCTGGCACTTTAGGCCAGGGCGTTAACCCACTGCACCACAGCGCTGGCCCCAACACATATATTTATTTTCAATCCAATTTTATATATTCAACATATACAAATAAATATGTATATGTTCAATCCAAATTTTTATACACACACACATATTCAATCTACATTTGAAAGAGTGATTACTAGAAGTTGGGACAGGTTGGTGGAGAGAATGGGAATTGAATAATGGGCACTAAAATACTGTAGCCTGAATGTAAAAGGTTCTGATATGTTGCAGCAAGTGGAGTGACTATGTCTCATGATGATGTGTAATATCCTATAGAAAGAACAGGAAGACAAGAACTAGTAGGCTGCGAACACAAAAGAGAACATAAAAAATCTCTACTGAACTGCACTGCTTCATTAAAGATAGAACATTAACCCTAACATTTAATTTCTCTTTTGAAAATATGAATATTTTCAACTATAGGAAAATTGAAGATTTTTTAACAGTAAAAAATAAATAATAAAAGGAGAAAACAAAGGAGATTAAGTTTAACTTGGTAAGTTCCTTATAAGCAGCTGAATCTATTTACATGCAATTTACTTTGTAATTATTTTTGAAAAAGTAAGAAGATGGTGTCTGATATAAGTTGATAATGTGAAAATACTAGACAGTATCAAAAAGAAAGCGAAGTCAGACCATCTATAAAAAAGAAAACCCTTCGAGGTACAACAAGGATACTACAAAAGGTCCATGAAAATGGAATTAAAACATGAGTTTATCAAGACACCATCACATACTACAGGGCAGTTGTAATAAAAACAGCATGGAATTGTCACAAAAATAGACATGTAGACCAATGGAACAGAACCAGAACAGAACAGAACCCCCAGAAACTAATCCGCTCATCAACAATCAACTAATCTTTGGCAAAGGAACTAAATCAGTCCCTGGAGAAAGGAAAATCTCTTCAACAAATGGTGCTTGAAAAATTAGATCTATGCATGCAGAAGTATGAAACAAGACTCTTACATTACACCTTATACAAAAATCAACTCAAAATGGATCAATGATATAAATCTATGACCTGATACCATCAAATTACTAGAGAAAAGACAAGAGAAAGTGCAAGATTTTGGCTTAGGCAAAGACTTCTTGGAAAAGACCCCAAAATCACAGGCAATAAAAACAAATATGGACAAATGGGATTATATCAAGCTAAAAAAGCTTTTGAAGTAAAAAGGAAATACTCAACGTGTGAAGAATGAATTAATAGAATTGGAGAAAATATTGCAAGCTATGGGGCCAGTGCTGTGGCGCAGTAGGTTAATCTTCCATGTACATTGCCGGCACCCCATATGGGCGCCGGATCTAGTTCCAGCTGCTCCTCTTCCAATCCAGCACTCTGCTGTGGCCTGGGAAAGCAATAAAAGATGGCCCAAGGGCTTGGGTCCCTGCACCTGCATGAGAGACAGGGAAGAAGCACCTGGCTCCTGGCTTCGGACCAGCACAGTTCCAGACTTTGCAGCCATTTGGGGAGTGAACCAATAGAAGGAAGACCTTTCTCTCCGTCTCTCCCTCTCACTGTCTGTAACTCTACCTCTCAAATAAATAAATAAAATCTTAAAAAAATTTTGGAAATTATGCAACTGATAAAGGGCTAATATCCAGGATCTATAAAGAACTCAAGAAACTCAACAACAACAAAACAAACAATCCAGTTAAGAAATGGGCAAAGGACATGAACCAGCATATTTCAAAGGATGAAATACAAATGGCTAACTGACACATGAGAAAATGCTCAGGATCACTAGCCATCATACAAGCAGTTCTGAAGGCATTAAAGTCAGGAAGGTCAGAGCTTCCATAGCATGGCAACAGCTTTGTAGATTTCCACATCATGATAGTTAAATGGTGAAGTCAAGAGTACCAGAAGACCTGCCTTGGTAGCTTTCTGTGCTACATCTCCATGAACATAGTAACATCTTTTTCTAGGCCCAAGTGACTATGGAGAGTGAGAGCTGCCACCAAGGAGTAGTCCATTACAGAGCATGGACTCAAATAAGCACCTCGAAGCAGACCTAGTAGCAAAATATTGACAACTTTCTCACCAGTCGAGTGGAGAGATGCAGTATGGGAACCAGAATGACAACTCGGTAACAGGTGAATGCACTATGCTCCATGCTACCCTGGAGAAGGTCAGTCCTGGACAAATGCTGAGACGTGAACAAGTCTCACCACCAGGCTTCAGAGGAATGCAGCTCAACCTCCTTGGCCATCTCAAAGGACACTCAGCCTCTAAAGGGGTACCACCTCACTCCGGAGGGCTCAAAGTTATCCACCGGCCCAGAAGCAACTATATGACCAAGACTTTGGCTTTTCTTGTAAATGAGATGAAAAGATGCTGAAGGATTTTGAGTAAGGACATGGAACAATGAAACATTTTTATAGAAAGAAACCAGATTATAAATCATTACGTTAGCCTTACTAAGGAATCTGTCTTTGAGTTAAAGACTAATGAAAGCCACTGATAAATTTTAAGCAGGAAAGTCACAGAATAAAAATTGAAGGGTGAGATCATGGGTGGGAGGGAGAGTAAGGTGGAAAGTGTCACTATAATCCTAAATTTGTATATATGGAATTTGTTGACCTTAAATAAAATTAAAAAGAAAAAAACTGAATTCTAGAAAATCTGGAAACATGTAGGGGATAAATTTAAGGAGCTAAGACTTTATCTGAAGAGATCATTTAAGAGATTCCTAAAACAATGCAGATAAGATTGCAAGGATATGAATTAAAGAAATCAGCTTAAACAAAGAGGAAGAAACAGTTTTGAAACTTAAGAACAAAAATTTACTGACTGGGGCCGGCGCTGTGGCATAGCAGGTAAAGCCACCACCTACAGTGCCGGCATCCCATATAGGAGCCGGTTCAATCCTGGCTGCTCTACTTCTGATCCAGCTCTCTGCTATGGCTTGGGAAAGCAGTGAAAGATGGCCCAAGTCCTTGAGCCCCTCCACCCACATAGGAGACTCAGAAGAAGCTCCTGGCTCCTGGGTTCAGATTGGCACAGTTCTGGCTATTGCGGCCACTTGGGGAGTGAACCAATGGATGGAAGACCCCCACACACACCTCTCCTTCTCTCTATGTAACTCCAAATTTCAATTAAATAAATAAATCTTTTAAAAAATTTACTGACTGACGGAGTGAGGAGGTTAGAGGAAGAGAACAGTCTGGGATATTTCAGATTTCGTATGTAAGTCACTAGTATACAGAGATATTATTCAACTAAATATATAATGAAATAACTAGGACAATTTTTTTCTAAATATCCTAAATTAAAAGACTACAAGACATAGCAAAAGTTTCTTAAATAAATTTATCTTAAGCACATGTCAAATTGTACTAACTTAACAAGTGAGGTGACTAAAAAAGAAATGGTAATTCTGAGAAAGTATGGAGGATTATATAGGTGAGAGACAGACTACTTACATAGGTAACTAATTGGCATTTTTTAAAACAAAGCTTCTGCTTTTAAATTTGTTTAAGATTTATTTATTTGAAGAGTAGAATGATTAGAATGATACAGAGAGAGGGAGAGAAAAGAGAAAGGGAGAGAGAGAGGGAGAGAGATAGAGAGAGAGAGATCCTCCATCCCACAGTTCACTTCCCAAATAGCTACAACAGCCAAACTGTCCAGGCTAAAGCCAGGAGTCAGGAACTCCATCCAGGTCTCACACTTGAGTGGCAGGAATCCAAGTACCTATGCCATCATTTGCTCTCTTCCCAGGCATATCAGTAGGAAGGTGGATCAAAAGCATGAGCAGCTAGGACATTGAACTGGCACTCCGATATGGGATGCAAGTGTCCAGAGAGGCAGCTTAACCTGCTGCACCATGATACCAGCCCCTAAGTTGCATTTTAAATAAAAACATTAGACATTCATTTCACAGAATACATATCAATAGTTACAAAGGAAGTCTTCAGAATGATGACTGAAGATACCAGGCAGGTAAACTCTCTCAAACAGGAACAAACTGCACAATTTAGCAGCAAGTGATACAAATATATCTGGACCTCACATTGGAATAACAAAGTTCCATCCCCCTACAGCAATGTCATATATGACCAGCTACCATGAGTGCATGAAATGGTGTCAGTAGAGACCATAAGCAACAGATTATAATTTTAAAAAGACTGTATCATTGTCAATAAAAACTAACAAAAAGTAAACAAAGATACAGATTATGTAGGTTAGTCATTTCTTAGTGATGGAATAAAATACTTTCTTTTGACAGTTTGAAGAAAATAAGGCTTCCTTTGAAGTCAAACATGGATTCATTGTGAGAACATCAACAATGTCAAAGCTGAAATAAACCCAGGCAGTCAAACTAAGACACTCATGGTAGCAATGGGTGATAAGATTGCAAATGACAACTACCATGTAAACTTTTCTAAGTAACTGAGTTTAGGTTTCATCATCATTGACGCTCATCCATTCACTAAAGGCAACTCTTAGATAAAGCAGTAAATAAGAAGGAGCAGGTGCAGACAGCACAGTATCTGGAGCAAAACCAAACTTACTTGAAGAACAGAAAAAAGTCCAGAGTATATGTAATGAGTAGGGCAGGGGATTTTGGTGAAAGAAGAGTTACATAGCTATTAGAGGACAGATCACGTGGTTTAATAGAAATTGTAAGGACATTGGCTTTATTCTAAGTGAGATGAAATTAAAGCAGGAGCATGATGCAATCTGATTTACATTTTTGCTAGACTGCACCAACCTTAGGAAAAATGAACGGGGGATAGGGAATAAGCAACAGTGCAAATTATTAGGAAGAACAGCCAAAGCAGAGTCTGGTCTTTGTAATAAGATGGAAGTGGCAGAGAGGCAGTGTTGTGACACAACAGGTTAAGTTACCTCCTGGGATGCTGGCATTCCATATGAGTGTTGGTTCTAGTCCCAGCTGCTCCACTTCCAAGCCAGCTTCCTGTTAATGTGCCTGGGAAAGCAGCAGAAGATGGCCCAAGTGCTTAGGCCCCTGCACCCACATAGGAAACCTGAATAGAGTTCCATGCCTCTGGCTTTGGCCTTGTCATTGTGGCTATTTGGGAAGTGAACGAGCATATGGGCGATCTCTCTCTCTGTCTCTCCCTCTCACTCTGTAATTCTGCCTTCCAAATAAATAAATACATCTTTTTTTTAAAAAAAAGGGTAGTAGTGGCAGAGATTGTCAGATATAGGCTATATTTTGTATGAACTGGACTTTCTCATGTGTTGAATATAAGGTATGAGGGAAAGAACAGAATAAAAAATGGTTCTTAAGATTTTTGTTCGAACTGGAAAAATTAAGTTACTCAAAGAAAGGGAAAGACTAAAGATAGTGTACCTTTGAGGGTAAAGGGATTAAGAATTATATTCTTACCAAGATGATGTAACATGCTGGTTGGGCATCCAAATTTTGAGGTAGGCAACTAGGACACAAAAGATTCATGTTCAATGAAGACAGGTGAAGGCCAGCATATAAATACCATTTATAGCTAGGGGACTAAATTAGATTTCTTGTGGATAGAGTGTATGTATACAGAAGAAAGGAATAAACCAAGAAAAAGGGCTGCTAGGAGATGGATATAAAGTAACTGTGAACTCCTTGCTGATATTTGCTGTCATTAAGCAGCAGTGCAACCTTCCTCAAGAACATGGAAATTAAAAAATCTATTAATACTTCTACAAAGGTTAGACTATAAACCCAACATTTAATAAGCCAGAACAGAGACATTCAATGCCATCTTCCAAAATCTTCTCTATAACCTGGGTCATGGGCAAAATTCTGTGCCTCAAACATTCATATGTTGACATCTTAATCCCCAGTATCTCACAATTCAACCATATTTGGAAATAAATTCTTTAAAGAAACGATTAAGTTAGAAATGTCTTTATAGTATACTTTAATCCAAAATGAGTGATATCAGGCCAAGAAAAAAAGAGTAAGAGGTTTTTGGGAACAAGTTAACATATAAAGTGGTTTTATATAAAGCATCAATTTTGATAAGCATCAGTACCAGCTTTCATTTGTAACACGGTTTGTAGCACTGGAAGAAAAGGATTCTGTGATTGTTGAAGTGAATTGTTATAACTGTAAAGAGATGATAAAATATTGAAAAACATTTTCTAAATGCATAGCACATGGTTAATTTGAGCTTCTGTACACTACAGTATGTTCCATTTTCATTCAGTTTGTTTATTTGCTCCTGGCTTGCAACCAGCCCAGCTCTGGCCATCATGACCATTTGTGGAGTTAACTAGCAGATGGAAGATCTTTCTGTGTTTCTCCCTCTGTCTATAACTCTGCCTCTCAAATAAATAAAATATTTTTATTAAAATCATTGGGAAGAAATTTGGACATGGAAATGTGTGCACAAAGGAAGAACCATGTGAAGACAAGAAAATATGATAATCTGCAAGTCAAGGAAAGAAGCCTTGGAGAAAAGTACTTCCTGTACCTTGACATTGCACTTCTGGCCTCCAGAAATGTGAGAAAATAAATTTCTGCTATTTAAGCCACTCAGTCTATGGTATTTGTTATGGTAACCCTAGCAAATTAATATAATCTGATTAGATGTAATCATCTAAGAAAGCATAGAAGACATAAAATATGCAGGAGTTTGAAACCAAAGGGACCAGTTACAGGGCAGCAAGCTGGAACAAATTCTACATTAAAGGAGAGGTAGATAGGTCATAAATGCAATCATATCCATAAATTAGCCATCACAGAAGCTGACAGAATAGTGAAATAATGGGAGGTGGCAGATAAGAGATTAGAAAGACAAGGTGAATGTATAACATGAAGTGTGTAAATATACAGTAAGGTATGAGTAAATGTGAGGCAAGATTTCCACTAATCTTGTAATGGTGGACTGACCTTGTCATCAAGATCTATACTTTCTGCACACCTCAAGGGCACAGAACCATAAACAAAAAGACTAATTTAGTGTCACTTCTGCCAGTGGCCAATGGTCCCCAATATCCATTCTCCCATTTTTAGTTAATAATAACAACCCTAATTTTTTTTTAGTTAGCACATTTCCATCCCACTAAAACATGGCATATTCTATGTCTCTCTCATAGTTAAATATAATCATGTAATAGGCTTCTATTCAAGGAGATACAAGAAATATATGAAACTTCCAATAGGTTCTCTTTGCCATTTCATTCCCTTCTTGAAATGTGAATATGAAGGCTGAAGTTCCAAAAACCATCGTAACCATCTTGGGCCATGAAGTAAAGGCCACACTCTAAGGATGAGAACTGAAGGGGTTATAGAAAGATGAAAGGAATCTGATTCCTTGGTGACTGAGGAGCTCCTCTATTAGCCTTTGACCATCCATCTCTAGTTCTTTACTGTGAATGAAGTACACTTCCATCTTAGCCTAATACATATAGAATTAAGTGTGTATCACTGCTCTAATCTTCCATCCTTAGCCTATTTTTCCCAGTAGCATCAATTTGTAGACTTTGCCCCACTCTCTATTCCTTAAATTTGAATGTTTATGTATATATATATATATCTTCCTTTTAAAAAATAAAAGATTTATTTATTTGAAAGGCAGAGTTACACAGAGAGAGTGAGAGGTCTTCCATCCGCTGGTTCACTGCCCAAATGTCCACAACAGCCAGAGCTGGGCCAATCCAAAGCCTGGAGCCAGTAGCTTCTTCCAGGTCTCCCACACAGGTGCAGTACCACTGGGTACTGCTTTCCCAGGCCACACCAGAGAGCTGGAACTTGAAGTAATGCCCATATAGAATGAGGACACTGCAGGCGGCCACTTTACCCATCAGGACACAGCACCAGCCCCTTAAATTTCTTAAAATTAAATAAGGCTTTTGTCAGCAACAATCCAGGAATCTTTTACTTAAGGTCCTGGGAACCATCTCTTCCCAATGTTAATATCAGGGAAAACAGTGCTCCTATCTCCTCTTACTATGGAAGTTAACCCAAGTGGTTTACACTAATCTTTACGCAACAGCTTGTCATACAGAGAGCAAAGTATTACTTTTCCTTTGCTAACCTGTATTAACTAACACAGAAGGCCACCCCAAAGGTGAACCATCAGAGAGTGGATAACAAATGGTGTTGTCAAGTCCTCTATGTAAGGACAAGCATGTTATGGTTTGTACCTACTTGGCTTATACGAGATTTTTCATTTTGGCAATCTCATCAATGGATTGCCTGTAACGTCCATCCCAGTCTAGTTTGATGCTCACAGAATAACAAAATTTTCTTTTCTATATTTGTGGAAATTTTGAGATGCCAAGATTCCTTTTAGATTTTTCCTCAGCAATATCAATTTCTTTACGTCCACTACCTTAACTAGCCTCCCTCCACCCCAACCTTACTTTTCCCAAGTACTTTCGCCGGTCAATAACTTGCGGCTTGCTGACCTCACAGTTTTCTCGGAACACTCAACGAGAGAACACAACCGATCGGCTGTGAGAACCACGACTCCCAGCATTCCGAGCGCTCTGAGCGCGGCGCACTTCCTCTTCCGGCCCGGAGGCTGCGCGAACCGGAAGTGCTGTTCTTAGACCGCAGCGCGGAGATTGATTCACCTTCACCTGGGCAGAGCCCCAGCTGAACCGAATAGGAGCGGTAAAACATGAACGGAAGAGTGGATTACTTAATCACCGAGGAAGAAATCAATCTTACTAGAGGACCCTCAGGTATGTGCGGAGCGGGCTGTCTTTGGGAGTAGGGGACTTGAGGTGTGCCTTTGCAGAGCAGACCCTCTTTTTGTTGCGCCGGATTCACCTGGCCTCAGAGTAGGCAGGCCCCAACGTAGGAGGTTAGGAATGTTGAAAGAATATATTGATATCCATCATTGGCTAGATGACGGGTCGGATTACAACACGTATTTCTAATCTGGAAAGATTTCTTTTTGCTCATGGTGCTAGAGAAGCCTAGAATAAAACCCGCTGTTTAGCCAGCATTCCGTGGACACACTCTTCCTTCTATTACCTGGTCTCTCCTTGTTCCTTGGAGGATCGTTTAGCCAAATTGGGAACGTAAACTATGTGACCGCTATATTCAAAAAGCTGTACCTATGGAATTTGTATTTATTAAATAAAACGATTCTTAAAAAAACAAAAAAAAACAATGTGAACTCTAAATAAATGCACAGATGTTCTGGTGCCAGGATTCCTTCCTCATTTCTGAGAAATTAGTATATAGTGTCAACTAGACTGTTAAAGCAGGAAGACGCTTTAGAGATCTGTTACAGGAGTTTCCAAACTTGGTTCTGCTACAAAACTATCCAGGCTTTGTTTTTGTTTTTGCTTTTTTATGCTAGTATAAAATTAGAATGCTGATTTCTAGTTCTCATTTCTAGAGATTTGGATTCAATACGAATTTGTTTTTAACAACTTACATGATTCTGATACAGTCAGATCCTTACACCTTCTGTACTCCCCCCTCCCCCAGATATTCCTTCCCTAGACTGAGCTGTTGACATTGCTACTCACTGCCTGCCTTGGACTTGGTTGGCTTTTTTTTTTTTAGCAGTTGTTGAGTTTATTAAGAGCTTTAACCATGGAATTGTACTATCTAGGCACAAAGCTTGTTATCTAACCGCTTACTGGTTCTTTGGTGTATTTTTTTCCACTGAGTGACATTGGTGCCTTAGTTGCTCATCTGTTAATTGGAGGTGATTATAGAATACAATATATAGTTTTTGAGAATGAAATTAATTAATTGATAAAACATCTAAATATATTTGTAAAATAATTAGAGCATTGTCTGACACACAGTAAGCAGTATGTATTTGCTACTACTGTTATTTTTATTGGGTGAATGGCTAGATTTGCATGGTAAATGTTATTGAAAAAGACCCTGTAGAAATCATAAGCCCCATGTGCTCCATCTAAAAATGTTTCTAAAATCCTTTTTTCTGTTCCCAGTGCCACTATCTATAATAGTTAATCACTTTTCTCATCTGGAATTTTGCAGTAGCTTAATCACCACTGACAGATTATCCTTTATAAAATATGACTTGCAGAACTACCTATATTTTGTGTCTTTCTTTTTGTTATATAAAATTGGAAGCTGGTCTTATGGAAATATAATTAAGCAGAGTAACTAAGCCCCTTGGATTCTTTCTTCCTATTTTATAAAATTTTTTTATTTCTCTTACTCAATACTTACCGACTTTAAAGCTAATATGGAAAGCTAGTTTTCAACCAGAATCTGTTTTTCTGTACCTTTCTGCCACTGGTAATTGTTTTTCATATAAGGCTAATTAAAACTGTGCTAGTTCCTTTTCTGATTGCCCTGCACTTATTTTCCCTTGCTTCTACTTTGCCTGGTCTTCCTTTAGCCTAAATATCTTGTTGTAACATTACTTTTTGTGATATTTGAGTTTGGGTTCTTGATTCTTGCTTAAGAATTTAATGTACTTGGCAGTGACATCTGCATCATTTCTAGAATCTCCCAACTAGAGCTGAGCAGAATCTTATTCTGGGCACTAAATAATTTAAATTCAGTATAATATCACTAAATCATTTTTGGCATTTGCAAAGCAGTGTTGCCTAATATTTAGTTCACCATTCACCACAACTTCTGAGTCTGTTTGTCTTGCAGATATAAAGTTCCTAGTGTTTGTATTTTTCAGAAGCATTGGAGTTAGGGCAAACTTCATGGGATTAATTAAAAGAAATTCTATCTAGCTAATATATTGCAACCAAAAGTGGATTAGTTTTTGTATTGTATGTGAGTTTATCCACAGGGTGGTTTCTTGAATTTTCCTAAACATTTTCATGTCTTAGTCACAGAGCCAGGGAACTTATGAGGAGGGTCAAACCACAACTTTAGGATTGAATATGGATAAAAACAGTTATTTGCAATTTGGTTTGTTCTATTAGCAAGGAAAGGTTTCAAGTTCCTATTTATTTCTAGAATTGGTATACTGGTATGTGATACTCTTGGTCTCAGATCTAATTCAGCTTTTCTTCATAGTGTTGTCATGAAGATAAACCACGAAGAAGTCAATAATCATCGTTAGAGTCCTCTATGTAATTTTTGTAATTCCATCGGGATCTTTCTTTCTATAGGAAGAATATGAAAAGTCTCTAACTACGTATACATTTTTTACAGTGAGCAGCATGGTTATTTGTCTTTATACAGCTTCCTACCCTAAGACCTCATCATTTAATGAAGGTAACTACAAGAAAGTGTGTACTGCTCTGCTTTTGTGCCAGTGATCTGGGATATTTCCACTGTTTATGCCCATTTTGCAAGGCAAATTAATCTGTTCCATCTAATCCTCCTTACTACAAGGAAAATTAGAACAATGAAATGAGTGTCTGAGATGGCACAAGGAAATTTGGCATGTAGCTTGCCATCTCATCTGTAACTACTTTCTCAACTGTGGAAGGAGAGACTTGGGCTAGGAGCTCCTCTTTTTTCCAAGTTAATGATTCTTTTGCCCAATCTGTGTGTTAGTCTGATTCTTGCTGTTCTGAACCAATTGGATAAAGAATTGGCAAAGACAATGATAACAATATCAAGTGCCTTCAAGGGTTGAACATTTCCATTTCATCATTTATGGAACTGCCTCTCTCTTTTTCTTTTATGGAATCCAGTTTTATTGTATTCTCCAAAGCTCCTGTCTTTTCCTTTATCACATTGAGAGTTCTTGATGTTGGAAAGAGTAGGTAGCTCTAAGAAGCTTGTCTCTAATCTAGCTTTCATTAATTTTGTCAGGTGGAGATGGTCCATAAAGGTAACCCTCCTACACAAGGGTACCAAGATTAAGATTCCTATTTTCAGGCCTAAAAACACAATGGGATTCAGCAAGTTGCTAAAATCGGTAAAGAGGGAAGAGAATCTCTGTTTTCTTCCTTTTTTTTTTTAAAGATTTATTTTATTTATTTGAAAGACAGAGTTATAGAGAGAGGTAGAGGCAGAGAGAGAGGTCTTCCATCCGCTTGTTCACTCCCCAGATGGCTGCAACAGCCGGAGCTGCGCCGATCTGAAGCCAGGAGCCAGGAGCTTTTTCCGGGTCTCCCACGTGGGTGCAGGGGCCCAAGGACTTGGGCCATCTTCTACTGCTTTCCCAGGCCATAGCAGAGAGCTGGATTGGAAGAGGAGCAGCAGGACTAGAACCGGTGCCCATATGGGATACTGGCACTTTAGGCCAGGGCGTTAACCCGCCATGCCACGGCGCTGGCCCCTTCTTCCTTTTTTTTTTTTTTTTTTCTTTTTGACAGGCAGAGTTAGACAGTGAGAAAGAGAGAAAGACAGAGAGAAAGGTCTTCCTTTTTCCGTTGGTTCACCCCCCAAGTGGCCGCTTCAGCCAGCACATTGCGACCGGCGCTGCGCTGATCTGAAGCCAGGAGCCAGGTGCTTCCTCCTGGTCTCCCATGTGGGTGCAGGGCCTAAGGACCTGGGCCATCCTCCACTGACTTCCCGGGCCACAGCAGAGAGCTGGCCTGGAAGAGGAGCAACCGGGACAGAACCGGCGCCCCAACTGGGACTAGAACCCGGAGTGCCAGCGCCGCAGGTGGAGGATTAGCCTAGTGAGCCGTGGCGCTGGCCCCTTCTTCCTTTCTTTAAAGACCTTGCAGAGAATGATGGGTTGTCACAATGTTTTAGTAATAAATAGTTAAGGTTATCTCGTAGTTTGCTAGTTTATGTCTGTACAGGTACATCTTCACAGTGACTCTGACTGGTAGGTGTTAAATCCACATTATTAGAAGGAGAAATTGTCTAAGAGCAGTTAAGGATTTACCCAAGTTCTAAAGCTAGTAAGTTCAAAGGATATTATTCCAGGTCTGTTGATTCTATTGCACTATATATTATCTCCCACCATAGTAGCTGTGCTAAGAAGTTGACTGCTAACCTTTCTCCTGACCTCTATTTTGTTATGTCATGCTTTAATCCCTGAAGGATTTGAGCCATGTTAAATGACAGTGGAAAGATTTTATAGTTTGCTCTTGATAGAACTGAGATCATATCAAGGTAGGAACCTAAAAGCAAGAAACCTCATTAAATCTAAGCATTTGAGCCTTTACAGACCTATCATGTGCTTTGAACTTAACTCTTAAGACTTTTACTAACAATATTCCGATGTATTCTTTCCTTTGTGTGTCAAATAGATCTGAAACGAAGGTGCTGTTTCCTTGCCTTATTTTCTCTGTCACATCAAGTCTAGCCCTTTGTGAAATTTAGAATCCAATGGACTTATAATTTTCACATGTGAAAAGTTAAATCTCAGTGAAAGGAGCATAAAACATTTTAAGGGGCATATATTTGCTGGCAGAGGAAAGAGAATGTGAAGTGTGAAAGAGAATGTGGTAATCTGACCCTGTACTAGAAAAGTTCACAGAATGGAGCTCCCTGGTAGGACCAAATTGGTCAATTTAAAGAAGGTAGAACTTATTTTGGTCACATAGAATGGAAAGATTTTAGGCTAGTGCCAAGGACATGGATGAGTGTGGCTTTAGCAGTAACAGAAGAAAATGGGCAAACATACTCTGAGGTCAGTGGGTAAAGCATCCTGGAGAGAAGGAAAGGTTCATTTGGGAGATTCAAGGGAGAAAAAGTTGCTGAGGTAGTTAGATATTGGGTTCAGTAGAGTCATCAGTATTAATGTGAGAACTTAACCTTTCTTTAAGGTTCCATCTTGAATCCCTTATCTTTCTATTCACTGGGTAAGACTAAATTCAGG